AGGAATGCCCAGGGCAGTGGGGAGGTGGTCAGGCTGTGTGGCACATACATACATCTGCCCACTGGGCCCGCCCAGTTCTCCTTCGACCTCCTTGATGGCAGCCATGCCCAGGCCACTGGCCCATCCCTAGAGGAAGCCGGCTTGGTGGGCCCCCAGGCATACCTTCTCCTGCTGGGAGGAAAGATGTGGGCCTGTCTGTTCCAACCCCACTGCCCCCACCTGCAGTGGCCGGCATGGCTGAGGGCTGCAGCGGTGGGTGGAGCTGTCCCCACTACACCCCGAGAAGAGAGGAACTACAGTGTTCTGAAGAGCAGGCATGGGCTTGGGGCTGGCTCCCAGAAGCCCCATATGTGGGAGGGGGCACCCAAGAGGCACCTCCTTAGATGCAGGTGGCCCACTGTGGGTGAGGATTTAAGGACTCATAATTTCATTCCTCCACCCTGAGCACTTGACAATCTTGGCAGGTTTGGCAACTGTGTGGAACTGCAGGCATCGGCCGCCTTCAATTGGAACGACCAGCGCTGTAAAACCCGAAACCGTTACATCTGCCAGTTTGGTGAGGGCCTTCCCATGGCTCCCCTCCTCTGGTCCCTGTCCCCTGGGGATATCCAGATGAACAGTCTAGAGTGTCTGAGCACAGAGGGCCACGACGACATCCTGCTCAGGGCCTCGTTGGACCTGTAGGCCCCTGAAGCACAGAGAGGGAGATTGGCCTGGGCTCAGCCACGCAGGGGCAAGACCAGAACTACAGCCCGGTTGGGGATTTCACCAAGGTCCCTTTCCTCCTGTCACTAAAGCTGCCACATGGGGACCCATCGGGTTCTTCAGCGTTCCCTGATTCCCTAGAGCACAGTGAACTATGGTGGGGACAGAGGTGAGACCTAGCCCAGAATCAGCCCCCAGCAGCACCTGCTAGAAGGATCTGGAGCTGCAAGTGGGATCATGGCTATTTCTGGACCTAGTGTAGCAGGGTCCCCATCCCAGGACTGCCTGGGCTGTCACTGACCCTTGTTCTGTTCTCTTCCTTTCCAGCTCAGGAGCATATTTCCCGGTGGGACCCAGGGCCCTGAGGCTCACCCATGCCTCTCCCCTGCCAGCACCTGGATGCACAGCCCTACTTGCCCTTCTGCCCACCTGTTTAGAACAAGGGTCGGGCTAGGACTGCAGGCCCAACAGCCAAAGAGGCCTCAGACCTTGCAGGAAGTGGGGCAGGGGGTACAAGTGAGGCCGATGGAGAGCCCGGTATAGGAGGAGGGGAGCCCGGGGCCCCCCAGCCTGCTTTTGAGCGGGAAGATGGGTCTTGATTAGGCACTGAAACAGGAGAGTCCGGGGCAGTGGCCAGAAGAGACCAGTCTCCTGCATCTGGGCTGGACCCTCTGGGGGCAGACAGAGGTTCCCTGCTGCCCAGGATGCACCCCACAAAGGATTAAACCAAGTTACGGATCAGCTGGGCTTGTGAATGCTCATTGTGAAGGGGAATTCAGACTACCCAGAATGATCCCAGGAAGACTGGTTTCCTCCCAGCCACCTCAGTCCCATCCCTGCTCACCCACATGACCCAGGCCACCCTCTGGAGGTTTTCAGACTCTCGGTCCTGAATAATGCACAGATTTAGAAGCCTTGTTTGCCTGCATCCCTGATTTCCAGCTCCTCTCACCACTGCCTCTGTCAGCTCTGTGTTTCTGTTCACACCTCGTCCTTTATTAAGTATGCTTGCTTCTACTTGTCTCTTCTTTCTTTGTGATAATCTGAACTGGGGTCTGCTACGGCCCCATCTCCTCCCTCTCCCTATAGTGGTGAGAGGGTGAGTCCAGGCAGGTGCAAGACTGGGAGGTGCTCCCATTAGTGTCCAGAATGCACACTGTTATGTGCGAACATCGAGTTGCTTTGCTGGTTGGAAGTGTCAGTACAAGTGTGGCCTGGGCCCATGGAACCGGGAGAAGCAGATCAGTCACGGTTCTTGGCTGCAGCCAACAGAAACATAGAAACAGCCCTGGCTAGTCGTGGCAGAAAAGGAATTTATCAAAAGGGCAATGATTTTTAAATGGGCAAAGGACTTGAATAGACAGTTCTCCAAAGAAGATATACAAATGGCCATTGTTGGCCGATGGTAGTGTTCAACATCACTAGTCATTAGGAAATCCAAATAGAAACCACAGTGAGACACCACTTCACACCCATTAGGATGGCTGTTAGCAACGAAACAGACAATAACAAGTGCTTATGAGGGCGCGGACCCATTGGAACGCTCATACATTGCTGGGGAATGTAAAACGGGGCAGCCATGGTTTAAAATAGTTTGGCGATTGTTCAAAAAGTTAAACGGGACTTCCCTGGTGGCACAGTGGTTAAGAATCCACCTGCCAATGCAGGGGATGCAGGTTCAATCCCTTGTCCGGGAAGATCCCACATGCCGTGGAGCAACTAAGCCCGTGCACCACAACTACTGAGCTTGCGCTCTAGGGCCCGCATGCCACAACTACTGAAGCCCGCGCACCTAGAGCCTGTGCTCCACAACAAGAGAAGCCACTGCAATGAGAAGCCCACGCACCACAACAAAAAGTAACCCCTGCTCACCACAACTAGAGAAAGCCTGCACGCAGCAACAAGGACCCAATGCAGCCAAAAATAAATAACTTAATTAATTAAAAAAAAATTAAACACAACTACCATATGACCCAACAATTCCACTCCTAGGTATGTACCCAAGAGAAACGAAAACAAGTGCTCAAATAAATCCTTAAAACACAAAGTTCATAGCAGCATTATTCACAATAGCCAATAGCCAAAAGGTAGAAACAACCCAAAAGTCCATCAATGGATGAGTAGCTAACAAATTGTGGTGTATACATGCAATGCAATATTAAATCAACCATTAAAAGGAATGAAGTACTGATACATGCTACGAGGTGGACGAACCTTGAAAACATTTTAAGTGAAAGAAGCTAGTCACAAAAGGTCACATATTGCATGATTCCACTTATCTGAACTACTCAGAAAAGGTAAATCCATAGATGCAGAGACGGGTGGTTGCCAAGGGAAACAGGAAAATGAGGGTATGGGTTTTATTTTGAAATGATAAAAATGTTTTGGAATTTAGATAGAGGTGGTGGTTGTACAACACTGTAAATGTATTAAATGCCACTGAATTGGTTAATTTTGCGTTATGTAAATTTCACTTTTTTTTTTTTTTTAAGTATAATGGTTGGTCACAGGATCCTAGGGAGAGTGAGAGAGACAAGCTGGGGCCTATGTAGCCCAGAAATAGTGCTCCAAATTCTGCTGCAAAGCCCATCTGGATAGACTCCCATGCCACTGCTGCCAGGCACAGGAAATGCAGAGCCTGCTCTGACAGCAGCAACACAGGAGCCACCTTTATGGCAACTAAGGTTGGCAATCCAATGCCCTTCTGAGCCTCTAACACCCCAGACACCAGATTCCCATTCAGCTGCAGCCTCTCCCATCAGCACTCCTGGCGCTACAGTGCTTTCCTCACCAATATATTTCTCAGTGCCTCGGCTAAGGACGCGCTTGGGGCCGTCCCAGGGTTTCTAGGTTGGGGTGTCAGTGAGCAGGTCCTACCTGAAAAGTCCATTCCAACATTCTCATCTGGAGGCGAGGTAGCCGAACGCCGTGGTTCTCCATGTTGGTCCACGGGCCAGCAGCATCGGCATCACCTGGGAACTTGTTAGACGAGCAGATTTTCAGCTGCCGCAAACCTAATCTGAGTTTTAACAAGATCTCCAGCCACTTCAGATGCAGGCTTAGGTGTGTGAGCCACTGGCAGAGGCAGAGTTCGGGTCTAAAGTCAGGCTACCTGAATTGGAGGACAGGCTCTGCCACTTACTAACTGTGTGACTTTGGTCAAGTTATTAACACCTAGGTGGACCCATTGTTCCAGTTTGCCTGGAACTGTCCTGGTTTTAGCACTCAAAGTCCCACATGCTGGGAAACCTCTCCATCCTAGACACACCAGGACAGCTGGTCACCCTAAAACATCTCTCTGTCTCATGATCCTCTTCTGTAAAATGAAGATAATAAAATGAGTTAATACATTAAAGTGTTTGAAGCAAAGCCTGGGGAGAGTAAACACTGATGAGTATCAGCTGGGCTGAGCCAGCGCCCTCATTTCTCAATTCCTCCATCAACATTAGACTATCTAAACTTCATTTGTTAACTCAGTAAATTTGTTAAATAAATGAAGTGCTTAAAACTGTCCCTGGCAGGATAGTAAATGCTCAGTAAGTTTTAGCTATTCTTTTTTTTTTTTTCTTTTTTTTTTCCGCGTTACGTGGGCCTCTCACGTTGTGGCCTTTCCCGTTGCGGAGCACAGGCTCTGGACACGCAGGCTCAGCAGCCATGGCTCACGGGCTCAGCCGCTCCTTGGCATGTGGGATCTTCCCAGACCGGGGCACAAACCCGTGTCCCCTGCATCGGCAGGCGGACTCTCAACCACTGAGCCACCAGGGAAGCCCAGTTTTAGCTATTCTTATTCGTATTATTATTATTATCTATTAGCTTTTAGCTAATATTATTCGGCCACAATTGAGTCCAGGCTTTAAGCAAACATCAGAGCAAACAATTGGAACCATCCCAGCCACTCAAGGTAGCCCCATAGAATCCTAAATATCGGTATGTTCAACCAGACATCCCTGGTGGTCCAGTGGTTAAGACAGCACGCTCCCAGTGCAGGGGGCCTGGGTTCAATTCCTGGTCAGGGAACTAGAGCCCACATGCCGCAGCTAAAGATCCCATGTGCCACAACTAAGAACTGGCACAGCCAAATTAAAAAAAAAAAAATACATTCAACCCCATTTAACATTTTCTTCCTTCCCCACTCTCCACCCTCAGAATCCAGTCCCAGATCATTTTGCAGGTTTTGTCAATATAAATTAGCAAAATCTCATGGTTCTTCTGGTGTTTCAATATCTTCCTCTCCGATTTGAAGTCATCGGCCCCCTGGGGCCTGCTGCGATATGACTTGTTATTTAAGTCTGGAGAAAATGAGGGGTGATGGGGTAGGACACACAAGGGGTCTCCTTCAGGGCAAGGTCATTACAGAGTATATTTTTTAAGGAAATGCTATCTGCTGGCCTGGTTGCACATGTGCCATGGAGGTGGGGAACCCAGGCTGAGCAAGGCCCTGCCACCAACAGCACATGGCTTCCCAGCTCACCCACGGCACTGGCATTCAGGTAGCCAACTTGGGAAGCAGGAGGGCTGATGGCCACTTGGAGGATGCTATGGGTCAGGCATGAAAGTGGTGCACATCCCGCCCTCCCATTGCCACTGGCCACATCTCAGCCATGCAGCACACTAACTGCGAGGGAGGGTGGGCAACTCCACCTAGATGTGCACCCAGGAGGAAAGGGATCTGGGTTTGGCAAAGAGCTAGCGAGTTTCTGCTACCGGGACCTTCAGAATGACTAAGAAGAGTCCCTTTGGCTGGCAAGGGAGCCTCTGTAGCAGTGGAAGTGCTGAGTCTTCCACACCTTCCCGCAAAGCCCTCCACTCTCTCTGCTCCCCACTCTCCACTCTTT